GGTTTTTTTTTTTTTTTTTTTTTTTTTTTTATATGGGAGGAAGATATTCATATCTTTCCCATTTTGGTTGATGACATATGTCTTAAGATTTTTAACACCGACACTCAAACATCTGTATATATATATGATAATAAATTAATAATTTTTTTCAAAATAATGAATTATATATACATCATATCAATAACGTATATTTTAAATCCATATCACATCAAAATTAATTATTTAAGGAAAAAAGTATATCAAATTTAAATTCTTTTAGTACAATAAATATTAAAAAAAAAAAAAGGTGAGGTTAGTCTTCTCACTTTTTTTTTCCTCCTTATTTTTGGGCGAAAACATGAACTACTAGCAACATTTACATATTTATTTTTAAATGAGAATTAGTACCGTATTTTTTTTTTATCACACCTCCCGTTGACCGATCACCTTAGAATTGTAAGGGTCAGTAATAGGGTCTAGATTCTAAAGCTTGCAGACGAAAAAGACTCGATGAGTCATAATAGATAAACCTCGATCTATAAGTCCGTGTTAAGCCACCTAACTGCAGTAGGAAGTCAATAGACTTTCTCATCTCCTAGAAAATGACCAAGGCGAAGTTTAAATTATGGATTACGTGCTTAGGTGATCGATAGGTCTCCCTAGCAAAGCATGTATGAGAGAATTCAATTAAGTTTAGGGCAATACAATTAGTGTTGTTTTATTCGTATAACTCATGTGATTTTTTTTTTTTGTATGGAAGGAAAATATTCAAATCTTTCCATCTTTGTTAATGACTTTGTGTTTTAAGATTTTTAACACTCAGGTTCAAACATCTAAGTGTTGTGATAATAAATGAATAATTTCTTTTCAAAATAATAAATTATATAACTCATGGGCTCGTTAGTCCTCTACTCCATGGCGTTGCACTATGGAAGGAAGGGGTTTCTTCTTGTCGGAGTTTATGTCCGATGGGGTAAATTGTTCGTATTCCGTCATTTTCTTTCTATATTTCACGTTTCCTTTTCTTGCAGGTGAGCTTATGACGAGTAGTCGTGCGGGATGTCTTAAAACGACAAGTACTTATGGATGAAATAAAATAAAAGAGGTATTATATTTTTTTTATTTAGAAATATATATTTTTAGCAATTTTTAATATATTTGTATTATTTATATATTAGGATCGGAGATATCTCTTCTTTTCAGCCTTTACTTTATCTAATTTATCTAATGGAATTGCTCATAAAACCATTTATCAATTTTATGGATATCCATCCATGTATCTAGATTATCACTTGAATAAGATCAATTCTTTTTTGAATTTCGATACGTGCAATTCCCTCAATACCAAAGACTCTTGTCATGTTTTGTTGTACAAAATTCTGGATACAATCTCGTATTTTTTTTTTTTATCTTCTTTTAAACGTTTGGAATATTTTTTGGGTGTGCAAACCGAAGAGAATGATGCCCTTCGGTTACACCAAGTCTAAAAACGAGTGGATTTATTTTTTGTCCCATAATTCTCCATTCTTATACATGTCATAAGACATTAGATCTGGGTACTTTTCTTTCGTTATCCATCCATTAGGTTTGTTTAAGTCTGATACGTTGTACTGGTATCTTTTCAAACGTCATATTTGGGTACCTTTATTTCGTTATCCATCCATCAAGTTTGTTTAAGTATAATATGTTGTATTGGTATCCTTTCAACTTGTCTGAAGAGTAAAAAACGAGCACAACTTAAAAAAAAAAAATATATATATATATATATATATATATATATATGTAAAAAACGAGCACAACTTAAAAAAAAAAAAAAAAAACTATATATATATATATATACATAGTTATTATGTCTCATGATTACTTATTAATCAATTAAATGTGGAGTTGGGTCAAATAGTAAAATAATTACGTCTATATGACTCTTTACCCCAAACTTACCTATAGTTAACTTTTCTTTTTAATTCAAAAAAACATGGGTTGACTTGTGTTAGAATATTTTATTAAAATAAATAATTGTAAATAATTTTTTAATTCAAAAAAATATGGGTTGACTTGTGTCCGAATATTTTATTAAAATAAATAATTTGACTTGAATGTTAAAATACAAAGTTATATTATCGTTGGTACAAGGTGGTTGGGCCGTTTGTCTGGTTTTCTGGAGTGGGATTAAAGATTTAAGAAAAAATAAAAATAAAATGAAAAAATAACTTTGAAAAAATATTCTTTCCATCAATAAATTAAAAACAAGAATTAAGAAGAAGATATAAATACTAAATAAACTTTTATTCCATGTCATGTAGCACATATCTATATTACAAAGTTGGTCTACATATTACATCAGTTTCTGGTAACTATGTAACTTTTATTGCATGTCATGTCGCACATATCTATATTACAAATTTGGTCTACATGGTACACCCGTTTCTGTAACCATGTAGTCCCATTAATAAATTGTCGTACACTGAATTGAATGGCTTCTTTTCGATTCTCTATTGCATGGAATCCTGACCATGTGACTCTTCCGTATAAGTTAGCTCCCGGTCCTCTAGGGCCATACTCGGCATAAAATAATAATTTTAGAGAACTACTATTGGACCATTCTGACCATCCGGCGGGATTCACCACTGAGTCTAGAAACGATTCCATGAAAATCACAGTGGAAAAGTCTCTCCAAGGACGGCCAAGAAACACAATCGTTTCATTTAGATTGTGCAGTGACAGTAACAGTGTTATTTAGTAGTCGGGCGTAAATCCTACAATCTTGAAAAACAGAAAGTGCGTTTCCAAATATGAAATCCACTGTACGGTAGATTTCAAAATCTTTGAAAAACAACATCTTTCCATTTATGAAAAGTGTGTCTTGATACCCAAGAAAAACGCACTTATGAAATACGGTATAATTTACATTATTCAGAAGAGCAACTGCTTGGCCGTGTTTAGGTCCAGCCAGAGAAGAATTTGAAAATGTAATAGAAATAGCTATGAAGTTGTTCGCACCTACCCGTACAAAGTTCAAAAAAATAATAATTATTCGAAGGTGTAGGTACTAAAATTGAAATATAAGAAGGAAAAATTAAACGATAAAACAAAATTATATATTTTTATTTTTCAAACCAGTGTACTAAAATTAAAAAAAAAAAACATATGGAATCTTTCAATAGCTTACCCAAAGTAGTAGAATCTGATGTTTCAAACCAGTGTACTGGAGTTACGTGTGTCGTGCACACGTATGATATTTTTGTAGTCTCCTCCTCCATCCAAATATAATGTTACTACAAAAAGAATGCATAAAAATTTAAAAAGAGCAATGGAGAAGAAGCTAGACTCATGAAGTTTGGATTAAATTCTACACAAGAGATGGTGATGGTGATAGGTGAAATATGGTGTGTAAGAACTTTAATTTATAGAAGAAAGAAAAGAGAGGAGAAATGGAACAGAAGAAGAGTGAGGTTAGATGTCACTATCACGATGGTTACATGTCACTATTACATCTCCGGCGACTATCAGCCTCAAACGAAATGGTGATAGGCTGAAACCCTTAGACCTCAAAGATAGGAACACGACATGAAGAGAGAAAAGAGGGGAAGACGAACGAACCTCAAAGATAGGAACCTCGCCAGACATAAACGCCGACAAAACAGAGACCTTCAATCTAGCAAACGAAAGATAAACAAACACCAGAGGAGAGGGTTTAATATATTGTGAGTAAAATAAAATAAAATAAAATTGATTTCTTTCCTTTAATAATTAGTTACACGTCACTGTCACTCTTCTACCCTCCAAATTTAATATATTACATCAATTCTACTCCTAGTTTATTTAATTTTAGTATAATTTTACCAATTCAACTAAACCACACTTCAAAATTTTAGCATAAATACTTAATTCTAATTTTCTATATAAAACTATACACTATTTGATTTTTAATTAAAAATAAAAACTATTATATTAAATTTTTTAGCGAAAGGTACGTCAACGGTTAAAAAATATGGCTAAATGACTAAATGATTCGACCCTAGAAAAACCTTTTGCATTTGATATTATATTCCAACTGATTTTTCTTGGCATTAATGAATGGGACCACTTTCGATTTTTTCAGATTTTTTCAGATTTTTCGTATTAATTTCTTCTATTTTTGGCATTTTCCATAATTGCATTTGATTTGATTCGATTTGATTTTTTTTTTTTTTTTTTTTTTTTTTTTTTTTTTTT